TCTGGACGTTTTTGATTTTGTTTATTTTAAAGCCTTACCATTTTAGATACCGAACTATTGTACACATGGAAGACTTCCCCCAGAAATAACAGGATGAAAAGAAAACAATGAAGTAAAAACCATTCGAAACCATTGTATTCAGTAGCAGTAGCAGTTATGTCATTCAAGGATAAAGGTGGAGTAGCGACTTGTTCTAAAGCACTGAGTACTTCATGAAGAATGGAAAACCCAGCCCACTGGCTGCCAAGAGACAGGGCAAACCTGCAGTCTGTGAGTGCTGTGCATGTTTCTCAGATGTCACTGCAATAGGGGGCCCGTTTATCAGGGTTCGCCATGACCTCTAACGACTTTATGTGAAAATTTATATCATTCCTTTTACCGTCTTTCAGGGGTACTATTTACTACATTTTCTTCCTGTTATGAAAATATTTCCACTTTAAAAAACCGTTATGGTTACCGGGGTGTACTGGGTTAATATCAAGTGCACACTCACGCCCTTCTGCTGAGCCCCAGGCAAGCGCCTCTTTGAAAACCTCTGCATAGGCAGACCCAGGGGATCCCCAAGGTTTAGACTCAGCTCCAGCATCGTCACCCCACGCCAACCGGGATCGTGAATCTGTTGGCTTCCTCTCTGAACGGTCCTCTCACATAACTGCTCCATAATTTACCCAGAATTGTGTGGAAACAGAGTGAACTGAGCCACATGCCCCAACTATTATACATTCCCCACCCTCCAAAGACCTGAAGCAAATAGAAGATAAGGGGACACAATGTAGCACTGTGTCAAAAGTTCTGGAGGCTCTGGAGGCTCCAGGGCCAGCTCTCCTGCTTCTCATCGGTGTAGTCATGGGTAAATATAACATGGCACCTCAGTTTCCTGAGCTGTAAGGTCCTGATTCAATACCTACCTTGCACAGCTGGTGTGAGGGTACAATTTAATGTGTATAGAGAAAAGAGCACGTAACATGCACTTAATAAATGATTCATAATTTGCTGGCCCACTCACAGGCAAAGTGCTCAGGGCACTGTGAAGCAAGAGAGGTCAGCGATTGGAATTCAGAGGTCTGCGCACGTGGGTGGGGAAAAGACCTGAGTCTTTACTTTCATCCACCTCTAGCTTAAAACGAGCATGTCCTAAAACTATGTACTGAGGCACGAAACTCCCTTAACATCGGTAGTACATGTGACTGTGTCACCAATAAAAATTTTCATATCATGTTACATTTCTTTTACATTTCTCAAAGTATCACTATGCTCACCACCACTTTGAAATTATGGTAGTTATTATACCCACCTTTTAATACTGTTTTTTTAAAATGTTTCATAAAGAAACACATACATTTTCATATCACAATATCTTTCTTAAAAACACGAAATGACATTTCCATGTAATGAATTATTTTACAACCCCACATATTTAATCATATACATTTATGTTAAAAAATATTATGGTCTTAAGGCTGCCAGAAGGATCCAAGACGCCAAAAGGCTGAGAATCTCTACTCTAGGAGATGTTTTGAAATGAGAAGCCAAGGGGAAAGGGAAGGCCATGGGCTGACAGGCTGGGTGTTTTCACATAAGTTGTCTCATGTACAGGGACGATGCAGCGGCTTCTGTGGTTGAAGCGCTGGAGCCTCAAAGGGAAGACAGTGAAGATGAGGTTGGACATACTTGGGGCTGGGAGAGTTGCAGTCACTTGGGCAGTTTCAGTCGTAACCCAGAGAACACATGGAATCACCACGGGATGGTGAGCAGGAGAGGGCACACTGCAGTGGTGTCTAGAAGGCTAGAGGCAGACCAGGAGGGAGCTGGGCACAGGAAGCAAGGGACAGAAGAAGGGATACAATCAGTAGGGGGTGGAGGGTGAGAGCAGGAGGCTGGAAAGGCAATGTGGGTCCCCAAAGGACTGGAACCCAGTCCACGGCACTCTCCCTGCAGCCCTAGTCAGGGGTAGGCAGTGGCTGCAAGTCTGCCTTTTGGGATGCTGGCCTCAAAGCAGTGAGGTCACTGAGGGGAAGAGGCCCAGGTTGGGAGGTGTCAGGGGCTGGTTTTAAAGGCCCTGAGGAACCACGAGCACAGAAGCAGGCTCTTTCCTGATCCTGCTTTTTCCTAAACCACTCCACCCCCAGAGTACCCCAGCACCGGCTGCACCTAGAAATCTGTGAGAGATGTCAAGACAAATAGTCCTGGGAAACCAGTTCCATCAGAAATGGCCCCTGCTACTAAAGCCAATTTGCCTTGACCTAGCGTTCTTTGTATATCAACCCACAGCACTGGTGCTCAAGGTGTGGTCTCTGTACCAGCAGCATCCTCATTAGCTGGTAAAGTGTTAGAAACCTATATTATTGGGCCTCACCCCAACCCACTGAACCGGAAACTCTGTGAGTGGGGCCTAGCAATCTGTTTTATTAGGTCCACTAGGAGATTCAGATTGCCGCTTCATTTTTGGAGAACCAGTGAACTCCAGAAAGGTCCCAACCATCCAGACCCATTCACTCCAATTTTGACAAAAACCATGCGGCATGGGGTCTGAGGTTTTCCGATGGGACCATTATCGATGGAGAAATTGTTTGTTTGGTGATGATTGAATATGGGCCAGTTTAAGGGGCCCGTCTGGCTCAGTAACAACTGTGTTTGGAAACTTTTTGAGTCGCTGATTACAAGGGCTCTTCAGGTGGTGTTTATCAACTCACATTAACCTTCACAGCACATGCCTGTGCATTTCCTGATGTGGACCTCAGGCAGGGACTCTGATTCAATTGCCTTTTCCCCCAGTTTTGTTTGGTTTTGCGTTCAGAGCCCCTGGCACAGTAGTAGGTGCTCTTTACGTATCTGCTGAATAAATGATTCTAGGCGGGGCTGGCATTCTCATGATTCTGATGTTATACATGACAAAATGGAAGCTCAGAAGACAGAAGTACTTGTAAATTGTGCCCTGCCTGCCTGCATAAAGGACGTAAGGCAGTCTCAGAGAAGCTAGGATCCAGACCACAGGTGGCACAGCTAGCTAGCAAACGACTGAGTCAGCATTTTCTTCTAGGTCTGCTAACCCAGAAAGGATCACCTCTTTTGATACCTGTGGCTGAGCGAATGCCCTTACCTAGAGGTTAAATGAATGAACCAATGAATGAATGAATAAATAAATAAAAGCAACCACTTTTTTTCTGCTTAGATCAATATATAATTCCAAAGGGCTTTCTTTCCAGGTACTTCGAGGTGATTGAGATGTGAATGAATGTATTCCAAGTCTTAAAATCACTGATATCCATTGTGGTGAGGTATCTACTCAATGCTGCCTGTGAGCCTGAGAGAGCTGAACCTTAGTCTTAAGGTTTTGAGGGGAGGTGCATGAATCTCCCAGTGAAATTAAATGTAGCATTAATCGTTTCCACTTATAAGCAGTAACATTCGTGGGATTGGACAGGAAAGGGCAACAAGCCCAGGAGATGGTTTTCCTGGTCCTCGTGGCCATGAATGCTGGATCTTTCAAAAGGAAGGAAAATTCTCCTGGCCTATGACCTCCTTGAGGACAGAAATTGTTATACTCCTTGATTCTTACAGCACATCCTAACACAGTAGCTAAGGGATCGATGTGTGTTTCTTGAATGCATGTTCCTATACATGAACTACGTAGGAGGGATGATCAGGTGATCTGAGCAAGAAGTTTGAGACACCTTTGAAAGAGAAAGATGTTCTCTCCTCCTCTGCTCTATGTATCAGGCATTGTGCTAGATGCTGATTTTAAGGTGGGGACTGAGGAGTGGTGTGAGGGATAAAGCTTGCCATAAAGATCTTTTACTTTATATATTCTATGATTTAGTGTTCATACCAGATTAGGATTATTATTTCCATTCTTGTCTAAAAGATGACTCAACTAAGTCTCAGAGAGGGGAAGCCTCTTTTCTGAGGTCACACAGCCAGCAAGTCTGGGCTCAGGTCTGTCTGAGCCTGAAGCCCTTTCTTGTGCTTCTCCCCCACACTCCAGGATAACATCCCTCTCTCCACTTAACTCCCAGAGATCATACTCTGACAGGTCCCTGAGGGATTCCTGACAGAGTTGCCATCCCTGGAAGCCTCTACCCCCATCCGGATGAAGCTTTTTCTGTGGAGAGTGGGCCTGGAGCCAGGTGAGGCCCTAGCCTCCATTCCAGCGGCTTTCTCTAGAATGTGTAGCTGTTGTAGCCTCCAGCAGAGTCTGTTTCAGGAAGAGGTTTGTCTGCATGCGCGGGACAGCAGTGCCATTCATCACTGCAGGAGGGCAGAATCCGGGGTTGGGGGCACTGCACGTAGAGAGGGGAGGGGCCAGGGGGCGGCCCCCTTGTGACCAGCCCTGAGGAGAGGTCAGGAGAGAAGGCTGGCTGAGAAGCGCCTGGACAGCAGCAGTTGCTGACGTTCTATATCACGCGCCTGGAGCCTAAGGTAACCCAGACCTTTAAAAGAAACGGGGGGATGTGGGCGTTGCAGGGGGCCAGGCGGGGGAAGGGAGCAGGGACTTTGGTGGTCGCGCATTGAGGATGAGGATGGCCTTGGGAATGGCGAACGCGTGGAGGGGGGAGTGACAAATCATAGGAAATGAGGGCGCAGAAGCAAGCAAAGGGGCGTGAGAACACAAGCTAATAAGAGCGTGAGAGGGCGCAAGAACCGGCGGACTGAAAGTGCGCTTGGGGCAGCGGCATAGGGTGGAACACAACGGGTCACGGGGGCGTAGGTAAGGTAGGAGCCGGGGGACACTTTCTTCCCCCGAGTCCATTTTCCAAAGGCGGCCTCCATTCAGCCATTTTTAAGATAAAATGTTGACCCAAGTGTTTTTTAGGATACAAGGAAAGAACGTCAGAGGAAGCTGTACCAAAGCGAGCCTGCGCAAGGCAGAAAAGGCAGTCAGAGGGTGGCGCCTTTTTTAAAGAAGTTTCCATCCTTTCCACCCTAAAGCTAAAGCCGTCTCCCACCCCCTCACCCCCCTTTTCCCCCCTCTTCCTATTCTCCCCGCCCCCGCATGATCCGATCGCCTTTAAACCAGGTAACCGCCTCGGTCTCCACACTAGCTCCCGGAGCCTCCCAGTTAAGTGGGTGGAGCCCGCAGCAGCTGCTGGCTGAGCTCGAGGGCCGGTGGGAGGGGTCCCGGGGGCGCTACCGGCGCACCGCGGCCATGACGCTGGGCATATCATTCACAGAAGTCCCTGTCTCATTCCATCTACAGTCGCAGCTCGTTTCCAGACGCCTTTCTCCTCAGGCCGGGCAGTGAGCTGATGGCCCAGGTTCGAGAAACTTCCTTGTCCTCCGGCTCCGGGGCCCGCTGGAGCCCGGGAGGTAGGGGAGGAGCCTTGCCCGAGGAGGTGGCTGAGAAGGCGGGGGAAATGGAGGAGGCGGCGGTGGGGACCGCGAAGGCGTATGCGGGCCGGGAAGCTGAGGAGATGAAGCTGGAGCCATTACAGCAGCGTAAGCTGGCGCCAGAGGAGAACTTGACGTGGAGCGGCAGCGGCGGCGACGGCGACGAGAAGGTGCTCCCTTCAATCCCCCCTCGCTGTCACAGCAGCTCCTCACCCGTTTGCCCGCGCCGCAAGCCCCGCCCTCGGCCCCAGTCCCGGGCCCGCTCCCGAGGCCAGCAGGGGCTCTCGGCCCCGCCCCCGCCTCCAGCCCAGCCCCCGCCCCCGCCCACACCGAGGCCCCGGGCCTGGCGCGGGTCCCGGCGTAGATCTCGGCCAGTGTCCAGGCCCCAGACGCGGAGTAGCTGCTTTGGTGACCCAGGCGGCTCTGGGGATCGAGGCGGATTAGGGGACTGGCTGCTGGGGGTAGAGTTTGAACAGGGTCCCACAGGCTGCTCTCATGTGGAGAGCTTTAAAGTAGCTAAGAACTGGCAGAAGAACCTGAGGCTCATCTACCAGCGTTTCGTTTGGAGTGGAACCCCGGAGACTAGGAAACGTAAGGCAAAGTCATGCATCTGTCATGTATGTAGTACTCATATGAACAGACTCCACTCTTGTCTCTCCTGTGTCTTTTTTGGCTGCTTTACTGAGAAACATATTCACAAACATGCAGAAGCAAAACAGCACAATTTAGCTGTTGACCTCTCTCATGGGGTTATATATTGCTTTATGTGTAAGGATTATGTATATGATAAAGACATAGAACAGATTGCCAAAGAAACGAAAGAGAAAATTTTGAAATTATTAACTTCCACCTCAACAGACGTTTCTCATCAACAGTTTATGACATCAGGGGTTGAAGAGAAGCAGTCAACCTGTGAGACGAAGGAAGAGGAACCAAAATTGGTGAAACCCAAGAAAAAGAGGAGAAAAAAGTCAGTCTATACTGTAGGCCTGAGAGGGCTAATCAATCTTGGTAACACCTGTTTTATGAATTGTATTGTCCAGGCCCTTACCCATATTCCTCTACTGAAAGATTTCTTCCTCTCTGACAAGCACAAATGTATAATGACAAGCCCCAGCTTGTGTCTGGTCTGTGAAATGTCTTCGCTTTTTCATGCTATGTACTCTGGGAGCCGAACTCCTCACATTCCCTATAAGTTACTGCACCTGATATGGATTCATGCAGAACATTTAGCAGGGTACAGGCAGCAAGATGCCCATGAATTCCTTATTGCGATACTAGATGTGCTACATAGACACAGCAAAGATGATAGTGTTGGGCAGGAGGCCAATAACCCCAACTGCTGTAACTGTATCATAGACCAAATCTTTACAGGTGGCTTGCAGTCAGATGTCACATGTCAAGCCTGCCAGAGTGTCTCCACTACCATAGACCCATGCTGGGATATCAGTTTGGACTTGCCTGGGTCTTGTGCCACATTTAGTTCCCAGAGCCCAGAGAGGGCTGACAGCACAGTGAGCAGGAATGACCACATACCAGGAATCCCCTCACTTACAGATTGCCTACAGTGGTTTACAAGGCCAGAGCACCTAGGAAGCAGTGCCAAAATCAAATGCAGTAGTTGCCAAAGCTACCAGGAGTCTACCAAACAGCTCACAATGAAAAAATTACCCATTGTGGCCTGTTTTCATCTCAAACGGTTTGAACATGTAGGCAAACAGAGGCGAAAGATTAATACTTTTATCTCCTTTCCCTTGGAGCTGGACATGACTCCGTTTTTGGCCTCTACTAAAGAGAGCAGAATGAAAGAAGGCCAGCCACCAACAGATTGTGTACCCAACGAGAATAAGTATTCCTTGTTTGCAGTGATTAATCACCATGGAACTTTGGAAAGTGGCCACTATACCAGTTTTATCCGGCAACAAAAAGACCAGTGGTTCAGCTGTGATGATGCCATTATCACCAAGGCTACCATTGAGGACTTACTCTACAGTGAAGGGTATTTACTGTTCTACCACAAACAGAGTCTAGAGAAAGACCAGTCTTACCAGACCACTTAACAGAAAAAAGTAAAAAATGATTAGGCAAGGATTCCTAAGTGACATGCACACTTACCTGGAATGGACAATGACAACAATACCCTTTCAACAATGAGCATCTCCTGAAGTAACACGAAAACCTACCTGGAATGGACAATGACAATACCTATATGACAACTAGAACCTTGGTAATAGAGAATCTGTTTTACCATGACCTATGGGTCTGTAGGAAGAAAATAGTGAATACCAACTAGTGACCATTCAGCCTTAAGAAATGGGGAGAGGGAGAAGAGGTTGAAAATGGTCACATAAAGCATAATTAAATGAAGAGAATGCTCTAGGTGGGGAGAGTGGGAATAGAGGTATTCTGATGCTTCTATATGTCATTTGTTCCTATAGAAATATCGTGGGAAGTCAGGGGGTATTTCTTCATCAGCAAAAAAGCCTCACGATGGTGTTCCAGTGTGGCTGACCAGCCAAATAGTTTGAAGGAAAAATAATATTTTAAAAGCTTTAGGAGA